TCATTTATTCATTCAACCCTAAACATAAAAGGGTAAATATACAATACAGGAAAGGCCTATTTGCATAATGGCCACAAACCCTATATCTAAATACAATCTGACCCAACATAAATAGATATTTACATATAAATATTCTAACACTCCCCCTCAAGCTGGAGAATATATATCATATAATCCCAGTTTGGAACAAATCGCTTTTAACCGATTATGACCAAGAGCCTTAGTAAACATATCAGCTAATTGATCTTCAGACTTCACAAATAGAGTAGAAATGTTCCCGCTCAATATTTTATCTCGAGTGAAGTGACAATCAACTTCAATATGCTTGGTTCTTTCATGAAATACTAGATTGAATGCAATGTAAACAGCTGCTTGGTTATCACAGAACAATGGGATAGGAGTCTTGACTATTAACCCAAGTTCCTCAAGAAAGTGTTGTATCCACGTTAACTCACTAGAGGTATGGGCCATTGCCCTGTACTCTGCTTCAGCGCTAGACCGTGCTACCACTGTTTGCTTTTTACTTTTCCATGTAACAAGATTTCCACCAACAAATGTGCAGTAGCCTGTAGTAGATCTCCTATCTGAGGGAGAACCAGCCCAATCAGCATCTGTGAAACCTTCTACCCTAAGATGTCCATTTGGTTTATATAGCAACCCAAAACCTGGAGCTTGCTTGAGGTATCAGATAATCCGAAGAACTGCATTCCAATGTGGCATCCTAGGAGATCCCATGAACTGACTTACAACACTAACTGCATATGAGATATCTGGTCAAGTGATAGTGAGATAAATTAATTTCCCAACAAGCCGTCGATATCTGCCAGGATCATCAAATAGATCACCCTCATCTGACAAGAGTTTTGTATTTGGATCTATAGGAGCATCAACAGGACGACCACCCAACATACATGTTTCTTCTAATAAATCCAACACATATTTTCTTAGAGATAAACTTATACCTTCTGTGGATCTAGCAACTTCAATACCCAAGAAATATCTAAGTTGACCCAAGTCTTTAGTGTGGAACTGATTTTTTAGAAACAACTTCAATATAACAATACCTTTAGAATCATCACCTGTGATCACAATGTCATCTACATATACCACAAGGAAAATGAAACCAGTTTTAGTGCGCTGGTGAAACACCGAATGATCTGTCTGACATCTCTTAAGACCAAATGCTAACGCTGCTGCAGAGAACTTTCCAAACCAAGCCCTTGGAGATTGCTTCAATCCATACAGGGCCTTCCTAAGGCGACAATTAGTATGACGATACTCCCCCTGAGCAACAAACCCAGGTGGTTGCTCCATATAAACTTCTTCAACTAAGTCGCTATGTAAGAAAGCATTTTTCACATCTAATTGAAACAACGGCCAATTATGATTAACAGCAATGGAAATAAGGACCCGTATAAAAGAAATCTTTGCAACAAGGGAAAAAGTCTCATCATAATCAACACCATAAGTCTGGGTGTACCCCTTTGCAACAAGACGAGCTTTCAAACGCTCAATAGAACCATCGTGGAGATATTTGACAGTGTAGACCCACTTAAAACCAACCGGTTTGGAACCAGGAAGTAAGGGAACAAGATCCCATGTCCCATTATGATGAAGAGCATCCATTTCATCGATCATGGCTTGTCGCCAACCAGGATGAGAAAGAGCATCCTGCAAAGTCTTGGGAACAAGTATAGCAGACAGTTTGGATATAAAACAAGATAAAGTGGGTGAAACACGATTATATGAGATAAGTTAGAAATAGGATGTGCAGTAACACAAGATCGAGTACCTTTGCGTAAGGCAATAGGAAGATCATCAGCAGCAACAGGAGCCGGAGCCTCAATAGAAGTAGACAATTGGGGGGTTGCTACTCGTGGTCATCTACTATACACTTGAAGCGGCGGTGACAGTGGAAGAGGTTGTGGTGTGACAAACTCTAATGAAGTAGACACAACCGGTAACGGAAGCAACAATTCCGTATCTAAAGATGAACCACGGGCAGAGAGATAAGGAGTGTCCTCGAAAAAGGTAACATCCATACACACAAAAGCACGAGGAGTGTTAGGGTCCCAACATTTATAACCTTTTTGAGTCTGAGAGTACCCAATAAAGACACACTTAATGGCACGAGGAGACAATTTATCACTGCCAGGACATAAGATGTGAGCAAAGCACACACACCCAAAAACACGAGGAGTAGATGAAAATAACGGTCGAGTAGGAAAAACAACAGAAAAAGGGCATTTCCAGTTAAGAACGGAAGATGGCATACGATTAATTAAATAGCAAACAGTTAAAACTGCATCGCCCCAAAATGGCTTTGGAAGATGCATATGGATCATTAAAGTCCGAGCTATTTCAATTAAATGCCTATTTTTCCGTTCTGCTACGCCATTTTGTTGAGTATAAGAGCAAGAAGTTTAGTGCAAAATACCACGAGACTCACAAAATGTAGAAATAGCACCTTTGACATATTCCATAGCATTACCAGATTGGAGAATTTTTATAACATAGCCAAATTGGACCTCAATTTCTTTAAGAAATAATTGAAATATGGAAAAAAGTTCAGACCGGTCTTTCATTAAAAAGAGCCAAGTCATCCTTGAATAGTCGTCAACAAAGGTAAAAAAATATGAAAAACCTGAATTACTCACATGATGCGTAGGACCCCAAATGTCAGTATGTACCAATTCAAATAAAGAAGACCGGCAATTATCAATACGAGGAGGAAAATACACCCTATGGTGCTTACCCTATTGACACGACTCATAGTCTAAAGAAGACACTAACTTAAGAAAAGGCAAGATAGACTTTAAGTATCTCAAGGATGGATGACCTAACCGATAATGCCACTGGTGTACAGAAACTTGTGAATGGAGTGCCACCTCACTAGTAGACACCTCACTAGTAGACAACTGACAATCCAAGCAATAGAGGCCATTCTGTTACGGCCGCCACCAATTGTCTTCTTCATTTTGAGGTCTTGAAAGACACAAAAAGAAGGATAAAAGGTCACAAAACAATTGAGTGCTTGAGTCAATTGACTCACAGATAATAAATTGAAAGGAAATTGTGGAACCAATTGAAAAGAAGATAATGAGAGGGAAGTAGTAAGTTTAACAGTGCCCTGACCAATAATGGGACGTGTTCTACCATCTGCCAAAGTAACAAAAGATGTGGAGCTAGACTTATGAAAATTAGAAAATATAGACTTATTACCCGTTAGATGAATAGAGGCCCCAGAGTCAAGAACCCAAGGGGAGGATGAACTCTAGGCATCTAAAAAACATGTAATATGACCTGACTAGGCAAAGGTAGCAAAATTAGAAGAGTCTGACATGATGAACCCAAAAAAGAGGAAAAAAAAAAACTTACTGTCCCGAGAGAAACCGAAGAGAAACAAGCAAAAAAAAAAAAAAACTTCGGTACCAAAGAAAGTAGAACAGCACAGACCCCGATCTCGAACAGGTCAGATCTCAAATGGGCTGGATCTAGGAAATCGGTTTGAACCATAATCAGATCTCTGCAAACCTGGTTTTAGTAAACCAAGGTTGGGATAGCTTCACACCTGTAGCTAAACACGTCTACAAATCCGGTTTATGTAAACCTGGATCAGGATAGCATATCCTGATAGCTCCACACCTGCAACCAAACACGTCTCTTCTTCTCCACCATCAGCGCTGACAAGAACAGAAATCTGCTACCGACAATAAATTCAAGCAACCGGGGTTCGCAATGAAGAATCAAGGCTAGTACACGCAGCGGCAACGGCAACACAACTCCAGCTTCAAATCTGAGGACTACGAACCAGAGCTTCGGCGAAGAACAGATTCAACCTTTGGCGAAGAACAGATCTGCACCTCTGTAACTGGTCGTGTGAGAACAGAAGATGAAAAAAAAAAAAAAAAAAAAAACTAAAAGGAACTCAATCTCTCGATGATCACGAAGCCAACACACAGGCACAACGATGACACCCTCTTCGCGCAAACAGTGACGAACAATTCAAGGTTGAGATCGGTGCTCTGATACCATGTGAAAGTTTTAATATGTGATGAAAGGGACAGAAGAGAAAGCAGATGGAGCAGAGCAAAAATGGTGGAGGCACAGCTCTGTGTTTTTCATTTATTCATTCAACCCTAAACATAAAAGGGTAAATATACAATACAAGAAAGGCCTATTTGCATAATAGCCACAAACCCTATATCTAAATACAATCTGACCCCAACATAAATATATATTTACATATAAATATTCTAACAAAACTCATTTTAAAAATCTTAAGCAACCATGAAGATCTATTTTGGAAGATTTGGGGAAGCAACTTCGAAGGTTTCCAACCTCGAAGATTTAGCCACTATGCGCAAAATAATGCCAACGGATAAGTATAGAACAAAACGGCTTAGGTTACCACAAAAAAAAACCCAAGGTTGTCCGCTCAATTGATCAAATTTGTGTGATGAAGATACAATGAAGAAGTGCTCCACCTCTCCTCATCACCGAACAAAAAAATTCTTCGATCACCATACCTTTGGTATACGACAAACTCAAAAACATAATTATCCCTTTGATTGTGTGCGTGTGTATGTGTAAGAGAGAGGTAGTTAAGTAGCAACACAGGATGCTAAAGGTAACTGATATTTAGTACCAAGGTTTTCGTCATTGACTCACTGACGAAGCTGTAAAGGGACTCTTTTCAATGTATGTAGCACGTGTTATTTTTCAAATATTTTGTTCATTAGATAAAGAGATGAAGAAGGATAAAGATTTGTGCTAACGGTGGAACTCTGAAAATAGAAACTAGAAACTCACTCATTTTCCATCCAGTAAAATGTCAGCATAATTTCATCACAAAATTTACCACACCAAATATATTATGCAATAAATTTTTTTTTTTTTTTTTTTGATAAGTAAAGGGTATATTAGAGAGCCTTCAAAAGGGGAAGGCATGCAATATCAACATAAGAAGTGCACATACTAAAGAAAGATACAGGCCTTACTTGGATAGGTACTTTAAACATTTGTCGTGGTATAAGTTCCTTTAGCTTTTGAGTCAATGCCCTCCCCACGGCATATGCCTGAGAAGCCAACAAAAGTATGTTTCATTTCACAGTATCAAGTAGTGTACTGAAAATTAAGTTCGATTTCATTTTTGAGAATCAACTTCTGATTTAAATGATCTGAAGTGAACATGACTAAAATTACCTTATCTTTGTTAACAATAGTTGCCAAAGGTTCAACACGATCACCATTAATCTGAATGTCAAGCTTTACCAATTCACTTTCCTTGTACCTGGTAGTCACAATGATAACAAATAATAAATTAAACAAGTGCTGTGAATAACAAACTTCTGAGAGATAGGTTGGGTCATTTTTTACTAAAAGATTAGCATGATAGGGTATGATATACTGGTTTTCAACTCTACGTAGAGAAATTGTTAAGACGAGAGGCAACTACTAGTCAAGGATCCTTCAAGCGGATTTAACCATTAAATTGATTTGTTTCCACCTTCACAAACATACTACATAGACTGAGATGCCAACAGTTATAGTAAACTTAGCACACGGAAGGGACCTGCACCCATAAAGAGTACTGTTCACCAGCATCTTTCTTCTTCCACTCACAAGGTAAGCTCAATTTCCTAGTCCAGAAGTGAAAGGCAAAATAAAAAAAATTATTTTTATTTTAAATTGTTGAACATTATGATGCAACCTTGTAGATTTTCAAAAGCTGTTCTCACTATGAATTTGTGTTCGCACTCAAGAGAGCCCATACATTAAAAGAAAAGAAATTCATATTTTAAAAGAAGTTCTAATTGCCGTACCCCGGTACGCTCGGCACAGGACAAGAATGGCCTTGTTGAATTGGTATTTTTTGTATTTGCTGCCATTCTATCTATTTGTGCATCAAGTTCAAAGCTCTTTTAACATGCTGAAGAATAACTAGAGAGAGTGCAACCGAGGGAGCTTGATGCCCTACCTTTTTGTACGAAATATTGAATTTATAACGCAAGCTTGAGTGATGCTTTGAATAGCCCCTCATTGTCTGGTGTTCATCGTCAAAATCAGAAGAAGATGTAGCATTTTCTTGAAAATGAAATAAAAAAGAGTAGAATTGGGGAAGTAATCCCCAGACAGGGCTTGGAATTCCGGATCAATCAAGTGCCCTTTCTTCATTCTAATTAGAATGGTCATCCCATTCCAGACCTGAACTTATTCAAGTCCAAGTGCTAGAAACCTAATTCACCCCTTCTTCTGGCGGATAAGTGGTTAGAAGTCCTCCAACACTTCGAGCAGAATCTGGACTTTCTGCTCTGACTCGAACTGTAGCCCAAATGCGTAATTAACACTAAACTAACTTTTGAAAATTTTCTAAAATAAACTAGAAATTAATACAGAAGTACAGACTCAAGTTTTGATCAATGAATTATGCAAACCTAAGTCCGATTGACCTAAGAGTCCTAATTACTTTATGAACTTGATCCTAAAAAATTATCAGGTGATTTATTTACCTACGCAACCATATCATATGTTCAACTTTTTGCCTTTCATATGTCACAATCATAAATGACCTAACTAGTTAGGAATTTAAATTTGTGTCTCATCACGAAGCAAATCAACTTTTTTTTTAGGAGTATTCACATTAAAAAATGTAAAGCACCTCCATGATAATGAAGTGGAATTTGTATTGAAATTTATTACATATATCAGTCATACATATATCAGTCATATCAATACCCAACTAGTTGGAATGTGCAATTCGTGTTTCAACAAAATTCAAGGAAGTAATTCAACCATTTCTGGAATACCCACGCTAATAATTGTTAAGCACCTCCATGGTAATGACTAATGAGAGTTGTTCATAACTACATATTGACAATTATGACATGGATTTACCCGATAAAGGAGTATTCCATGCTAGCATAACCCTTGCTTCTGGACTTCAGCTGATCAAAGAAATCCCCTACCATCTGCAAAATGAGTTCAAAATGCAAGTTACCTAAACCAAAAGAATAACAATGAAACCAGCAGGGAAAAGAAGAAACAACAAAAAATAAATTGAATAAGAAACATAACATTAGTTGTTCCATGCAAGTGATGTTTTCATAAGGTTACCTCTGCCAAAGGTAATTCATAGATGAGTGACGCTCTATTCTCAGTCATAATTTTCATTTCTTTGAATTCTCCCCTTCGGTCTTGAGCAAGTTCCATAAGTGGACCAATATAGTCCTTTGGAGTGAGTATCTCAATCTGTTCAAATCATTGAGCATCACATAATTACCATACTTTAAGCTTTCATAGCAAAAACTGTATTGGAAATCATCTGAGCAATGAGTAACCTTAACAAATGGCTCCTCAATTGACCTCCTATTTCCAGGCTCAGGAAGCAAAGATGGATTTGAACACTCCACCTAAATCAAAATACTCAGTTTAAAATTTTAATTTAGTACTGAAATTAAAATGACATGTATCGTAACTGAAAAGAAAAAGAATAAGTTCCAGATATGCAGCACAAAACTGTTAAGGAATTTTGTAGTACCTAGGGGAAGGAGGAAGTGTCTATTAGGGAGTTGTAGAGGAGGATGTTAGCCCAACCTGCAATTCGGAAATTCAGGAAAATGCCTTTTTTCTTTTCTTTTTCTTTTTTTTTCCTTTCTTTTTTTGGACAATGGTGGTGTCCGGGATCTTAGATCACCCCATAATCCACCACTGGACACATGTAGTCTCTCTGTTCCACATGCAGCGAGCAATTACCGAAAAGAATTTGTTGGGATGGCCTCAAGGGATTCAAACCCCAAACCTCCAAGATGTGAGATGAGAGCCTTATTGTTAAGCCCATCCCCTTGGAGTTGGGAAAAATACCAATTTACACTGCATTCTTTTGTAGAGTAATTAGAGGTTTTGCACCTACTGTAGGAGTTTGTTACGGTTTTACTTGTAAAAGCCAATACAAGCTAATACTGACCAGTCAAGTAAATGTTTGGATTCTATTTCCCTTACCTTTTTAGTTCCCCAAGAGCGGATCCATATAAATTTTTTAAAACTAAATAAATTAACAAATCAAAGCATTGCATTGAGTTTAGGATGAGGAAGAAATTACAGTATCACCATTTACACAGTTGACTCGGTATACAACACTTGGAGCAGTAGTTATTAGCGTCAAATTGTATTCTCTCTCGAGCCTTTCCTGTGAGACAAAAGATAGTCAGACCAATGTGTCAGCATATTAGAACAGAAGGCACAGAGTTATAACAATGCAAACCTGAACAATTTCCATATGGAGGAGGCCCAGAAACCCACATCTGAAGCCAAAGCCCATGGCACTTGAGGTCTCAGGCTCAAACTGCAAAATTGAGATTAAAAATATCAAGAAGTGGTTTTTTGAAACACAGAATAGATGTCTGATGAGGAAAACATTTCTGTTAACATTCAACACAAATATCCAGAATCCAACATAACAACTCTGTAAAACTGCTCCTGTACGTGCAGTATTAACATGATATACCTTCAATGCAGCATCATTAAGTTGCAGCTTTTCCAATGCATCACGTAAGTCAGGAAACCTAAAAGAATGTAGATCAAGTGACAAAGAAATTGGAGCACATGAAGTCAAAATCTAGAATTTGTTAAAGAAAATAGTATGCAAAAGATCAATACCGATCAGCATCAACAGGAAACAGGCCACAGAACACCATTGGAGTTGCTTCCTTGTATCCTGGCAGTGATTGTTCTGCCCTCCTACTGTAGTGTGTTATAGTGTCACCCACCCTAGCATCTGCTACCGCTCTTATGGAAGCTGAAACGTAACCCACCTGAAATGGAAGAAGATAAAGAGCCATGTGGATCGATAAGCATATACAAGCAGTAGCTTGTTGATTTAGCTACATTAATAAACAGTAAAATTCCTATACGATCAACATTAGTTTGCACCGAAGTGAAGACGAAGTTGTGCAATGCTATGCGATGAAGTATAGGGCCAGAATCGATTGATGCTCTGATACCATGTGAAGTTTTCACCGAGAAGAAGAGAGAAGAAAAACAGTCGTATATCATGCGATTTAGAAGGTACTATACAAGAATACATTAACAAATATGCCCTATAGGCTGACTAACTAAAGGAAAGGAAAAGACAAAGTTACCCCTTATAAATATAGAAAAGTACAGAAAATACAACTCTCTAACATGAACAAATACACACTTCAAACAAATCAATAAAAACTCGTAATCAAGAAGTATAGATAATTAAAAACCAAGAAGATAAATCTTGGTTAAAGAAAATTCATATGATGCATTATCTACCTCACCGGCATATAATTCATCAACTTGCAACTGATTGGGAGATAAAACTCCAATTTCATCAACAAAATAGTCCTGCAGATAGAAAAATACATAGCTCCAAAATTAACAATGGTTTTGCACATATACAGGCAGCTAAATAATTGAAGTAAAAAAATAAGTGAGAAAAAGAAAACTAACAGTCAAAACTCTAACTGTGATAATTTTTTATCAACAATTTGTTGGTTAGTAATACAAATCAAAATCATTTAGTGGGTAAGCAGTCTAGTTAAAGAACTACATGATATTAACAATCAGAAAATGTTACCTTGGGTTAAGGAAAAAAAAACAATTGAATAAAGAACTTTACCTTCTTACTCGCCATAAAAAAGATTCTGTCACCTTTCTTTATAGTCCCATCAATGATTCGAAAATATACAATAACACCCCTATATGCATCATAGTAGCTGCAGCAATTAAGGAACAAACTCAATTAATGGCAAAGGGTAGTGACACATGTAGAAACTAAGCTACAAAAGACAACGAAAGTCCAACGATAAAACAACATTGAATGTAAATCTTAAAATAAATAATAAAATCTATATGAACATAGCACAAAGTAATACATCAAAGAAATAGAACGAAAAACAATGTCCAACTAGTCAAGTAATCAGTTTACAAAAATCAACCATTATTTGCACAAGACCGTTAGAAAGAGTAGAAGAAAAATTTTCCTAAGGTAAAAATCAAAGATGGAGTTACTTTCAATATTTAATGAAGATTAAAAACTTTTGGAGATGCATTGAAACACTTCAAAAGTTGTATACTCTCAAGCCTCTGCAGCTGGAATTTTTCTATAGCCCTAATTAGTTATATTAGCCTATCTATTCGTGTATTTATTTAGGCTTGTTTGGTTATACACATATACTATTCCAACTATAATTTCTACTCCCACATGGACTAGAATTAACTCAATTACTATTTCACCCCTAATAAATAATAAAAAATAAATTAAATTATTTATGGATATTACAAGGTGTGTAGTAAATTGTGAGAATCGATTCAACAACTCTAAAGCATCAAGATATCAACACCAAGTACCACGCAATCAAACTACAAGAAATTTAGAGAAATTTGGACAGTGCCACACAATCATCCTAAGTCTAGATTGGAACTTTGGCGCACTATGACGTATCAAAGTGTTGGGTAACGGCCATAGACGAACTCAAGCAAAAGGTTGCTCCTATGAGAAATGGGGAGTGGAAAACAACATGAGGTAATTGCTGCCATAAATGGTAACTTCAAGATATCTATTAGTCATACATCTCAACTACGAAATTCTTTTTACTCAATGTTCTAGTTTGTGGAACTTAAGCAAACTTCTTTTGTTCAATACATATTAATACCCAACATTCCAAGGTTTCATCAGGTATCTTCTTCTTAACTGGGTCTTCTTCATCTCATCAACAATGGAATATCATTTCATTCACAGATGATACAAACTCAAGGCTAACCCCTAACACGAACTTAGAAAACTATCAGAAATGACCTTAGGAGTGATGGTAGTTTTCCTTGGAGCTTGCTGCTCCACAACAACCAAAGAATGGCTTCCACACTGTCATTTTAAGTTATACCATTATACAGCTCTCCATAAGACAAAGAAGTCAATATTTCCCTCTGCTGCCATTCAATTCTTAACAATTAAGGGAAAACAAAATTGACATGGAATACTAGCCATAATAATATTTCCTTACGCAAGGATTTGAAAGATTTTCTTTGTGGAATTCAAAATATATACTTATGTGTGTGTATAGATATAAGCTATGAATATAGAAATTCAATAACAGCAGGTTCAGTAGTGATAACAAATACCTGTCAAATATTAGGGCCCTCAAAGCTCTTTCAGCAGTATCATGAGGCGGGGGAATCCTTTGGACGATTGCATTCAAAATTTCAGTTATACCTTTTCCCTCCTACAAAAGAAAGACAAGTACAAATAAGAACTTCAGAATTCTCCACATCATCAGGATAAACCAATTATATTGACTTAAATTTTTCTTACTACTCTTTTTCACATACAAAAGGATGCCCCACTTCAATTGAAAGTTAAAAGACAAGATCAATCAAAAACTAACCTTTGCTGAGCAGTAGATTGCATTGCTACAATCTAAACCAACCACCTACATGGGAAGATGTATCTATATTAGAACTAATTTAAATATGCAATCACATTAGAAACTTTTTCCATTCTATTTATATTATCACAGCAGCACAGTAAATCTATAGAATGTGAGATACCTGAAAGCATCAACTACTCCAGAGAGTTAATTCAGACAAATAGGAAGCACATCAAGTGTTTAAATATGAATATATATATATATATATATATATATATATATAGTCCAGATAGTTAATTCAGGCAAAGGTAATACTAGTGTAAAATAGCTCCTTTTGCAGAAATTGGAATGAACTGTAATTTTAATCTTCAAGCACATAAAAGATTGACGAAGTGCAAGTTCTGCAATGCAGAACTGGCTTTCCATTAAAAAATGGTATCAGAGCTGTTGGAAGATGTTATGTTTAAAGAATATCATTATAGCAGTGATTTAAGCCCTTAAATCACTCCTTGACAGAATATTGATATGAGTGAAGCATGGGAGTGATTTTAGGAATCTTTCCTATATCATATTTATCACATGTTTGTATTCTTTCACCTATAAATAGAGGTGATCATTTTATACAATGATTATGAGAGAATAGTATAAAAGTGATGTAGTCCTTTGGGCTTTGTGTGCCGTGGATGTAGGCCCTAGTGGCTGAACCACTTCATATTTTTGTGTTCTTATTGTTTTATTTTCTCTCTTCACTTATATTTTAATATCAACAAAAGCCAATATTTTCCTTTTCTTTATATATGTTCATAGCCAATGTTTCCAACAGATGCGCGTTTAAAGCCAATGATTCCAAGAGACAAGACCTTAATGCTTATTATAAAGTTTCCCAGCATGCATGTCCTCAATTAAAGCTACATCCGTCAAAGAAACAAAATTTTTCTTGTGCACCAACCTCTTCAATTTCCTGGGAAACACGAAGTGGATCGGCGCCTGGTAAATCTATTTTGTTCAAAACCTGCATAGATATGAATGTTCATTTGAATGATGTCAGGATGCTGCAAATTAAATAATGATGCAAAGTAAAAGCAAATATAAAGAGAATAAAATCATTTTGACTTGAAATCAGGAGCTACTTAAGACCTTCCCATAACTAAGCTTAGCTAAATTCAAGTCCTACGTTATATTTTCTCCAGGTTAGTTTGAAACTGGTTCATTTCATATGCGTTTCCTTGTGTTTTAGGAGTCCAAAGGGTATTCTTGTACTTTTTTCATATTTTCTGGACACGGGATGCACTAGTGGTACATGGGTTCTTCAATGTCATGATATTAGGTCTTCATATATTTTACATAAGTCAGAGTCTCAACTTTCAAATTTGAGAGATATCCAGTAGCCTTATATAATTGTTACCCTTCCAGTTTAATGGTGATCCGTTTATTAATTCTTAGAAGCTCTTGCTTCCAGAATTTCACAAATATAATTTCATACAAATATAGTTCTTGGTGTAAGGACTAAGGAAGTATGGCATTTGTGGCTCTGAACCAAGTTGAAATTTAGTCTAGGATGATTAGTTAGAAACCAAGGAGAGTGGAGGAGATGAGGGGGCGAGGGAATCAATCCTTCTGGAGGTACCAAGGCTGCCTAGGCATCCCCACCAACAACAAGGTTGAAATGCTGTCGCGGTAAGGGAGCACACTTTCAGGGTTGATAACAGGAACGCGGTGAAAAGAAGGGATGTCCTACAGTCGTACCTGATAGGTAGATTCAACAGAAAGGTGGGTTAACTTGGAGCAGATTGGGATTTGGACTTCGAAAGCCTGGAAAGAATCGTGTGGGGTGAGAGTTTCTGCTTTGCCAAACTCTCATCTGTTATTCCAGCTACCCTCAAGGAAGGAGGCATCTAGGGTCTTGAATGAGGAGAAGATAACTTGGGGTGAGTCGGTGTCGAAGCTTGATGTTCGGTCATTTATGGCAAAGGTTCAGTGTAATTTGTACCACCACAATCATTACACTTCCTGTTACACATCTACTAGAACGACCACCACCACAGGAACCACCACGAAAACAACCACCACCATGGCCACCACGACCTCCACTGCTAGATACTAATGTAGAAGACTTTGTAGGAGGTACAGTAAAGCTTTGCCCCAAAGGTGATTTCAATAGTCAAGAATAAGCATTGGCAGTTGTAGCTAACTTCTTGCTAGCGAGAATTTGATCTTTGAAGCCATGAAGATATGCTCACGGCCTGACACTTTTCATCTCCACAAATCACACCAATGAGATTGCCCACAAACCCAGCATTCTCCCTCATCCATCCTCCCTCCCTGCCTCAGCAGTCCCATCAACCCCTCCCCAAACATCAACACCCTCAGCCCTCTCCTCTCCAGACCCACCATAGCCAGAGGATCAACAGACCATCGTCCAGAAACTCACTCCTTTCCCAAGGAACAATCCCCAAGTGCCCACCCCTCGAGGAATCCGACAACCCAACCCAGTCATCGAACGTAGAAGCTGACGAAAGACTGGCGGCTCTTGGGGTGCCGAAAACCCCTTCAGAATCATCATCCCTGTCATTCTCCATCGGTATACAATTCAACCCCTTCAAAGCCTTATGAAGCCGAAGCTCCTTGACCAAAACAGCAGCAGATTTGTTGCTCAACCAGAACTGGACATTGCGACCCACATGAACTGCAACTACCTCAAATCCCTCCCCAGTGGAAACCATATCCTCTGTAACCCTTGCTGACATCCCAGAGCACCCAGACTGAACAGAAGCCTCCTTATTCTTCCCTGCCAAGCAAACCTCTGTTTCCGCCTCGAACACAGGCGATAATCTTCGAGAGACCATCAACAAACCATCCTTCTCCACCCCCCACAACACTCCTCAACACCCCACAAAGAGTAGAAGAAGGAGCAGAAAGAGAGATCCAAGAGTTCAAGTAAGAGGACATACCAGGCTTATGCTCATTCTTATTGTTAGAAAACCATTTCTGTTTCTCCATTCTTGACCATCGCCTTCTTGGATGACTGATCTCTCTGAACTCTCTGTGTGAATGAGCCCTTGATTGTGAATGACAATCATCCGAAAGCTCACTGATTCAATCATAGTGAAAACGCCCAAAACGGTTACTGAAGGACAGCCTTGAAATCTTTCATCATGCCGGAGAGGTTTCATCACTGCCTCTCTAGTTGGACCAAAAACAACTGGGTCAATAGAATTTAAGGAGTTACTCCCATACTCCTGCACCTTAGAAAGGGTTTGAGCTCTTCTGCCCATCCCAGCATCAAGCTTTTGAAGTCTCATGCTAAGCCTCACCCAATTCTCTGTATCGCTCATTTTGTACGCCTCAACATCACGAAAACCACCACAAGTCACCGATGGCTTCAAGGAGTTTTTGAAACCATAGATGCAGAGGAAGCCCATAAAGCACGATTCTGCTTTTCTTGCTCTTCTTCCTCAATCCCGAGCAACCAACTCGAAAACACCAAGCATCGATGAACAACGGTGCTTCTCCCCACTTTTTCTTTCCCAATTTTAACACCCTCTGTGCTTCAATTTCTGACGGCAATCTGAACAGGAGAAGACCATTGGGCAAGGTGGAAACCATCACCCCACTAGAAATCTTCCAGATCTTCAACGCCCACTCCTCAATCCTTTGAAGACTAACCCATCTCCGTCAAATCTCCCAACCAAACAAGATTTCAGCACAGCCTCATGAATCTTTGTGTTATGGTTGTCAACACTGAAAACATGTCCTCTGCTCGTCAATTCACTTTCAACTGTACCGTTAATGGCAAGACAAGGAAGTCTTGCCACATCAAGGAACAAAAGTTTCTCTCCCTCAAACGCTCTCACGGCTTCCTGTTGAGAATTTCCCTCCTACATGGATAGCCCAATAAGTCTCTTATTTGTGTCAGCCCACTTGGATGTCTAAAGCCCATGTGGAAGTCCATGTATTTAAACCCTTTGTAAGGAAGATGTAGGGTTCAGACAATAGAGAGAGAAAGAGACATATAATCTGATTTGGGGGTTCCTTCAGCTGTGAGAAGAGTGAAAGATTGTGGAAGACGAATAGCCCACACTCTCTACAAATCAGTGACCAAATAAACTCCGATCAAGGTGTAATTTCAGAGGGAGGATTCTGACATACGGTCAGATTTTCCATTCACCTCCTACACTGTTTTATGTTCTGCTCTACACCGGTGAAATCACTTATGTCCGTCGTCGATATCCACCCTGTTTCTGGGTGAAGTTTCATTGTGTTATATTGCTGTTATTCAAGGGTTTTAATTTCCCTTGATGATTCTATGAATTGTATGCCTCTAACTTGATCTAGAGAAGACCTGTTGTAACCCCATTATTGTTGATGGTGGAAGATTTCTCAGAGTTTGCCACGTGGTTTTTCCCCTTCAATCTGAAGGGTTTTCCATGTATATCTTGGTCTCCTGTGTGTGATTGATTTTATATTTTATTGGTTTATTATCTCTGCTCTAAATTGTTAATCTTAGAGGTTTGCCCAGTAGTGAGGGGAAAATTTCAGTTCTGGGATTTCGTTGCTGTTCTGGTTTTGTGTTTGTTGTGTTTCCTTATTTTTTTCCCCAACACTTCTTAATGAGGAACGGAAAAAGAAAAAACCAGAAAGAAGAGAGGAAAAAAAAAAATCAGAGGACGCCGGAGTAGAGGACTCCGGCGTCTGAGAGAAGAAAAGAGATCAGAAAGTTATAGAGAGGAATATTGCACATCATGTTTCTTAGTCCAGCGTATCATGAGAGAGAACGTTATTTGTTAATTTTAAACAGAAACTTGCAGGAAATGCCCAAAAATGTTAGGACCCTAGTCCAAAGTTAAAGTTGAAGGACCTTCTATCAGGATGGAGCTGTTAATGCCAGCAATCAATGGAAAATAATACATAAGGCAACTCATCGACGAGAGAAGAAGATTTGGCAGGGAGAACGGAGGAGACTCCCAGCCAACCATCATTTATGATTGAAGGGGGTTTTAACCCTTTTTAACTTTTAGTTTAAAAGTTACAGTGGAAGTGTATAACAATGTCAGAAGAAATTTTGCCAAGTCAGAGTAATTACACAAAGACCGTTAAAGCTTATATGATAATAGACGAGCAAAGTAAACCGACTAGCACTAAGTCCGACAAAAACCAAATGATATATACTTATTTGATAAATTTCTGAAAATAGTGTAATTACTGCTGAATGAGAAATGCGGAAGAATCTCATAAGATAAACAAAAAACAACATGGCAGCCAACTTACTGGAATTATTTCTAGGTTGTTTTCCAAAGCCAAATAAACATTAGCCAGCGTCTGAGCTTCCACTCCCTTCAAAATAAGATCATACGCATAATAAAAAATATCAATATCCAATAAAAATTAATATATGTAACATTTGTTCTTCAGGAGTAATATCATGTACACTTTATGACAAAGAAGGTTTCTTCCTAGATGCAATCTTTAAAACCAAAATTCAACATTATCAATAGCATAAGAAGTTCGAAAGGAGATGGAAGAACATTATAAATAAAATAAAATAATTGATCTAGGAAAAAAAAAAAGAGGTTACCTGAGAGGCATCTACAACAAGGAGAGCCCCCTCACATGCAGCAAGAGACCGAGAAACCTATACATAAATGAAAACAGTATTACACAGCCTAATATATAAATATATATATGTGTGTGTGTGTGTAATTGTGATTATTAGTACAACTCTATGAATTAGTAACTAAGAACAGTCTACAATTCCAAGAATTAGTACCCTTTTCTGGATAAGGTGATCAAGCATGCCATGAAATGGGGATGACCTAAATGTGCTATATGTGGTGATAAATCCACAATTAAAAATATGCACATCTTAATCATTTTTTCATATGAGACAGGAAGAGGGAAAGATAAACTATTTCGAGAGACACATGAAGCAAACTATGTTCTAAAGATACAATATATACTAAGCATTAATGTAAAATCCAATCCATAAAGCCAACTCTCATGTTAAGTCACTCATGAGAAATGAACGAATATAACAAGAACTGACTCCAATGAGAACTAACACAAATGGCCTTATAATCTCTTAGGAGTGAAAATGGGGGAACTACTCTGGGTGAAGGGAAAGGTTGATAAAAATATAACGGTACAGAGTTACAACCTAATTATTGAAGAGTGTTAGAATAGATATATTTGGGGCACACTTGTAACTAGCTTACCCGACGGGGGTATTTTAGTTTTTATACTCGTGTGTATTTTTATAGAGCGAGAGTTAAGGAGATAAATTAACGCTCTCTTACACAATTTCCCAAACAGTCTTCATCTTCTTTAACTAAAACACTAATCTCAACATGGTATCAAAGCCAGATGATCGTCGTCTTCATCCAAGTTAATCATCGGACAAAGAATCTTGTCATTGTTGTTGTGTTGTTACCATCGAAGGCAGTCATTGTGTATTGATCAGTCATCATCATTGCATCTAGATTTATCATCTTCGTTGAGTGGTGATCGACATCGTCGAGCAGTGACTGCTGTTGTGCTGTGTAGCTGCCACCGTCGTTGATGGAGATTGTTGTTTTCTTTTGGTTAAGATTCCGACCAGTATAAATGTACAGAGAAGAGATCCAATCAACCAATTTCAGGCCAGTCCAGTTCCAGCCAGCTTTTTTTTTTTTTTTTTTTTTTTTTTTCTGTTCAGTTTTCGGATAATTCAGTGTCAGGCCAGTCCAGTTCTGGGAAAGGTATAACTTAGGAGAGACAGGTCTGTTAGGTGGTTGTCCAATTGATGTTCCTATGGATCCAAATAAAAACTCGTAGATGATTATGATGATTTATTTGACAACCCTAGCAGACACTGACGACTGGTTGGAAATGTGATTTATCTCACTATTACTTGTCCTGATATTTCATATGTGGTTAGCGTAGTGAGTTAACTTCCTAGGGTGCCACATTGGAATGCTGTTGTTCAAAGTATCCGTTATCTCAAGCGAGCTCCAGGTTTCGGGTGGTTGTATAAATCTAATGGGCACCTTAAGGTGGAAGGTTTTACACTGATTGGGCTGGTTTGCCCTCAGATAGAAAATCCACTGACCTTCCTAGGAAGTAATCTAGTTACGTGGAAGATACAAAACAAACAGTTGTGGCACAGTCTAGTGCAGAAGGTGAGTACAGGGTGATGGGTCATACATCTAGTGGGTTGACATGGCTTCCTTGAAGAACTTGGTTTGGGAGTTCAAACTCCTCTTTCGTTGTTTTGTGATTGTTGGAGAATAATATTATACGAATGATTAAAGCCCTTAAATCACTCCTTGACAAATTAATATGAGTGAATCATGGAAATGACTTTAGGAATGTTTCGTATATCATATTTATCACATGTTTGTATTCTTTCACCTATAAATAGAGGTGATCATTGTATTAAAAAATTAAGAGAGAATGTAATGAAAGAGATGTAGCCCTTTGGGCTTTATGTGTAATGGATGTAAGCCCTAGTGGCTGAACCACGTAATATCTTTGTGTCCTTGTTTCATTTCTCTCCACTTAAATTTTATCATTTACAACATGGTATCTCTTCACTTATATTTTATCATTTACAACATGGTATCAAAACATGTTTATCATACCCTACTCTATACTCGTCTCGGATCAATTCGTCTTGGATCTTCGGATTAACTCATCTCGAATCTCCGAATCAATTCATCTTCGATCTTCGGATCAACTTGTCTCAGATTGTTGGATCAACTCGTCTCGGATCTACTCGACTTGGACTCTCGACAATTTCATATTTATTTTCAAGTTGGACAATTGAGTTAAAAAATCCCCGTGTACCAACTTGAGGGGGGTCTTGGAGAAAATTATTATAGGAATGATTAAAGCCCTTAAATCACTCCTTGACAAATTGGTATGAGTGAATCATGGAAGGGATTTTAGAAATGTTTTCGATATCATATTTATCACATGTTTGTATTCTTCCACCTAGAGGTGATCATTGTATTAAAAAATTAAGAGAGAATGTAATGAAAGAGATGTGGCCCTTTGGGCTTTGTGTGTTGTGGATGTAAGCCCTAGTGGTTGAACCACGGAATATCTTTGTGGTCTTCTTGTTTCATTTTTCTCTTCACTTATATTTTATCATTTACAAGAGTATAATCGAGCAATTATTCATTTTTCCCCTTTTTTTGGTGTTTCACAAGAGGTCTAAGCATAACAAGGTTGATTATAACATCATTCGAGACAAAATATTGAGTGGGAACATGTCTACTCCAGTTTGAAGACCAATTGGCTGAAAAAGCTCTTGGTCAAAACCGGTCGAAGGCTATTTGTTCCAAGCTGGGATTATATGATATATATTCTCCATCTTGAGGGGGAGTTTTAGAATAGATAAATTTGGGGCACACTTGTGATTAGCTTATCCCATGGGTATTTCAATTTTTTTACCCTTTTGTGTGTATATATAGAGAGAGAGTGAGGGAGAGCAGTTAACGCTCTCTTACACAATTTCCCCAAACAGTATTCATCTTCTTCTCTTACAACCCTAATCTCAACAAAGAGGAAGCACAATATAATGTTTATACATAAAGCATTAGACGTGTGTCTCTAAAATACCAATGTTCTCTGAAGCTGTCATGTGATATCAGATATCAGTATAAATGAGTAATGAACCTAATGATTTCCAGGTATATCATAGCTATGAAGCATTCAGAATTTGTTCCAGGAGAAAACCACAATACCAGAAGGCCATAAGTTTGAAAAGGGATGTCAAATGCCTTATTTCTTCTTTCAGTACAGAAACTATTTTAGTGGCTGGCACACAAGTGATGTTGCAATTGACTTTCTATCATGATCCCTATGAAGGTTGAGGTAAAATTTAACAACAGGACTGCTTATGAAAAGTCTACTGATATAATATTTTGCAATAATTGTCACTCAACATTTTATAAAAGAGAAAAGAACCAACCAGCAGATTTGAGGAGGATCTGAACAAACAAGAGGGGCATTTCTTCACCCCTCTTTTGCAGTTGCAACAAGATCAATAGAAGAAGACGAGGACAATATGTCCACTTAAAAACAGTCTAACTGAGTCAAACAAGAACATGGGTTTAAATGCACTCAAAGTTTGTTTCATCATAAAGTACATAATCATTCGCACTATCAAATAATAAATGACACTTATATATCAGGAGAATCTTCTTGAAGCTTTGCAGTTTGGACAATTTAAGCACCATTTATTTTATTTTTTTCTCATGACAATTGAAAGTTATTCATACATGTAGCAGTGACTATAAATCTATAGTAACTTATGAGTTTGATCCTAGACCAGAAAAGGGTACATTCTCATATGGATAATTGTAATGTTGAAAGAGAGTTATATTTAAAATATATTTAACAGGTCATGTTAACATACCTCGTAAGAAAAGTCAACATGCCCTGGAGTATCAATAAGATTGAGGCAATATGGTTCATTATCACACATGAAACGCATTCTAGCTGCCTGCAACAGAAACCGAAGAAAGAAAAAGATAAGGATGCAACATTGATTTTTTCGAAGAGATTACATGACTCGTTAGAATCAAAGAAGCCATCATTCTCAAGTAAGACTTGCTAATTGCACTAAAATCCTCAACAAGGGAGACTATTCACCTTTCACATGATTACTGGCCAATAACTATAGTATTAAGGACCCATTGACTATTTTTGTTGAATAAACGACTAACAAAGATATTTACTTCACTTGCAGAGAAAAAAACATGTGGACAACAAGGCAGTTCATTTCTTTTCTTTTTTTCGGATAAGTGAAAACAAAGCAGTCTATCGTAGTGTTCTAATAAAAATCATTGGCCTTTTAGAGCAAAGATAGTTAATCTGGCTACAACTGAAACACCAGTGATTGGGTGTCTTAATGAAGTTCTTTTACAAGTGCAATAGGAAGAATAAAGTTCCTTTAGCAATATATAGTTAAGGATCATTCCATTTAATAAAACAGGATTGCATCCTCATGAAAAAAATCAACTAAAACAGGATTGCATCCTCACGAAAAAAATCAACTAAAGCCGACACTTATGATGTTCTTACTTAGGCTGAATTTGGAGTCCTTGTCACTTTTGTTTGCTGAAATCAGAAATGAAACAGTAACTGGACCTTGGTCTCTTATCATCCTAAATAATAACACATTTCTTTTATTTAATTTTCTTTTTGTTAGGTCAACAAGACTAATATTGGAATTTTTTTTTTTTCCTAGTTGGTACTCACATACACATGCCTCTACTGAGACTTAAACCCCTGACCTCTCTTTGAGAAGTAGGGGCCTGGTACCGCTAGGCCACTGGCCTGTTGGAAATTTCGTTAACCAAAACTCAAGCTTGTACTTTTGTGTACATTCTAGCTTAGTTTAGAAGTTTTGAAAAGTTAGTTAGTGTTAGTTACCTCCCGAGGTTGTAGACGGAATATATGCTGCATTAAAAGGCAATTTGGTAACCCTCATTCCTCATTAAAAAGGTAATTTGACACATTGATATACTCTCACCAATTAGTGCTCATTCCATTGCACATCTAGGGTTCAAGGGTCAGACGTACACAACCTTACCTTCTTGCGAAGAGTCTGTTTCCAGTTTAGTACACGTGACCTCAAGTCACAATGGAGCAACCTTACCGCTACGCTCATTACACGAATATTCCCAAGTGGATGCAATCTGCTCACAGTAAGGCCTTATATGGATTTGATGAACTATTATCCCTCATGAATTTAGGCATATATTATCAATCTAGATTGAAAAGAACCTTTCCGTCTTCTTTTCTTTATCCGTCTAGCTTGCTAAAATTGCAATCAAGAGACACCAGGAATCCAACAAAATATCTAGACAACTTTTTTTGGGGTCAAGATATAAACCTGTAGTTTAATTGTGATGCCCCTTTCTCTCTCTAGATCCATGTTATCAAGAAATTGCTCCTTCATATCCCGCTTCTGCACTGTACCGGTCAATTGAAGCAGCTTATCTGCTAATGTTGATTTCCCATGATCGATGTGGGCAATAATACAGAAATTCCTTATGTTTGATGTAGGGACCTGCATTTTAGAAAAAGAAAATTTGGTTCTCGTAAGATTCCCATGCACAAGAAGCTATGTTTTGAAAAAAAAAATCATTTTCTAAAACAAAACTCATTCTCACTTCAATAAAAGGATACTCATAATTTGATGTTGTTGCCTTCTGTAGAAAAAAGACTTCTTTAAGGACCTTGATTAGACTCAAAGAAATTTTTTTCTCACCAAACAGGGGAGGTGTTTCAGCAAATGGTAGTACTAGTGCCTTTAAAAGCACATGTACAAAATGGGGAACTATTGTTGGCATTTGGAGTCATAACTATAATATATTTGCTTTTGGAGGAATACAATACCATAGCCCTTCACTAAAAAAATAAAAATAAAATGTAATGTCATGGGCAAGCCATATCCATTTATTTCTCCAGGAAATAGTAGCCTTAAAAGATCTCCACCAATTGGAAAGAGAAAAAAGAAAATAAGAATTAAATACTTAATTTATCTCATCAATTATTTCAGCAGGAAGATTGATATACCCTCCAGGAAATTGATTGGGAACGTTACTTTTATTGAACCAAGAACCAAACTGATAAAAGAACAAGTTTTTTTTCCCAATATTATTAGTTTTTCCTTTTTCCATTTTTGATGGGTATATATACATTCACTCTCACACACTTGCCCAGAACTGGACTGAACATTTTTTATCCCGTAATACTCTCTAAGTAACTATTTTCCTAGGAAACAAACAGAGTACTGAATTGAAAATTTCGGACTCATGGACTTCTCTATCATTGAAAATGAGGGAAAAGCAAAAAAACCCAATAATTGAAACACCCAAGACCAAAATCAATATAGAAATTAAGCTGCCCAAGCAATAATAAATAAATAAATTACCTTCAAGAGACGGTCCTGGCCAGCATTGGAGGACAGGTCCATAGTCTGCTGGCAAAGCACGCAAAAAGAGGGCCGACGGGTTGAGCAGCTAACATTCCGTTTAGAGAGAGAAGAATGACAGAATTTGTGAAGAAGAAGATGATGGTTTGTAGAGAGAGAATTTGTGGGGAAGTTGAAGCCTCCTCCGACTGCTGGAGTGGTGGTTGACCTTGAGGATAAGGGAAGCCTGAGGCCATAACGAAAGTGTGTAGTGACCGCCATTATGGACGGGAATACCTGCGATTGCTGTGTCTGTTACAACAACCGCTGGTCACTGAATGAAATCGACGCCATCCTCCACACTCACTCTCGCTTGTTTTGAGCGACACCACCACCACCACAGAACAGTAGCTGCTTGTATGCAACTATATCGTATCGTTTTGGTAGCCACAGGCCCACAACCCACTTCTCCCCACCTCCTTAGACTTTGTTTGGAACCAAATTCCAAAGAATTTGGTTTTTGAAATTCAATTCCCGTTAAATCCTACAGTTCCAAACACAGCGCTAAGATACATAAAAATAAATAAATACGTTAGAAAAGTACAAAATAAAGTGTTCAGAACTGAATTGGGCCATAGTTTGACAACTTTGAAGAGTTAGAAGGGTTATTTGATAAAAAATAAAAAATAAAATAATTTTGAAGCAATTTTTGAAATTTTGGATAGTTAAGAAGGGCTTAGTGCAATTCTGCATAGTGGTGTATGGAAGCCCCCAACCCAATCTAAGTTGGGTAGTCCAATTGGTAGAGACACTCTCCTAATTTCTAAATTTTAATCATGTAATATTTTACATTTTTTTTCTAAAACTCTCTATGTTTTCTACCACTTATACTCTACTTCTTTTCTTTTTTTTTTAGTTTGATATCTTAAACAATGAAGTTAAAATCAAATTATGGCCTCAAATTTGCAACTCAACTACACTCGATGGCTAACAATGGATTATAAAGTTCGGTGTGTTGGAAAATATATGTTTCATATATTATTTAAGATTAAAAAACAATAAAAAATAAAAACCTTATACTAATATTCTTATGAAATAATCAATATATAAATAATATGCTAAATCATTAATTTATTAAAAAATCTACTTTATATTATTCAATTATTCATGCAAATTAATAAATAAAAGGGAAAAAATCACATAACTCCCTGTACTATCATTTTCGTCCAAAAAGCCTCCACTAAAATTAAACACCCCCTGAACTATAAACCGTCATCACATTGCTTCATTTCCGTTCAAATCTATTAACTTGCCGTTTGGATTGTAACGCGTAACCAACACGCGCTTATCAAAAAAAAATTCCTAAAATACCCCTTCCCCTTCCTCTTCCCTTTTCCTCTCTGTTTATATATATATATATATATATATATATATATAAAAGCATGTGTACTGTATATATATAATCTTGTGTACTGTATGTATATATATAATCATGTGTGCAAAGGTTCCATCTTTGAAATCAGAAGCTCTTAAGGGAAGGGGAGGCCACGAAGCTCTAAAGCCCTAAAAGGAAAGGAAAGGAAATCCGTAATCCACCTTCCCTTTTGCTCTGTACAATCGAAGCCCTAAAAGGAGAGCCCTGTAATCCATCTTCGTATCATTCAACACCATAATCGTATTATTTAGGATTTTATATTGCAACTATTTTCAATGCATACTATTTATATATATTCATATATTCAAATTCAATTTTGGTATGATTTGTAGACTTTAATCACATAATATCAGCCTCAAGCATTCGATTTGGTGGTGGTCAAGATATGAGGTATAAGAATGTTTATTGTGATTGTTGGGAATTGGCTGAAGTATTGGTAATAGGGAAGAACGATAATAACAAGTTAGGAAAGTTGTATTATAAATGTCGCAACAAAGAATGTGGATTTTGGAGATAGTATTATCCAATTTCATCAGAAACCATTCAAAGTTGCAACATGTTGAAAGGTATTAGAATATGATATTACTCAGTTGAGGTAGCATGTAGAAGCCAGGAAAAAAAGAGTGAAATTTATCATGGTTCTTATTACAACCTGTATAATCTTATGTTTTTTGTTGTGGTGCGTTCTTTGTTAAGGAGATAAAGAGTTGTTTTTTGTTTCTCTGGTGCTTCTGTTTTATTAAGTGGTGGAATTTAATCATTTGTACTATGTTTCATGTTTTATGAATGTAAGAGGTAGAATGAAATTGTTGCACTATGTTGTAATTGAACCATTCACATTGCATATAACATTATTCCATTCACATTGCATATCGCATTGTTTCATTCACATTGCAATAACCTGCTCAAAATGCACAATTGAATTGGGCCATAGTTTGACAACTTTGAAGAGTTAGAAATGTTATTTGATAAAAAAAATAAAAAATAAAATAATTTTGAAGCAATTTTTGAAATTTTGGATAGTTAAGAAGGGCTTAGTGCAATTTTGCATGGTAGTGTATGGAAGTCCCCAACTCAATGTAAGTTGGTTAGTCCAATTGGTAGAGACACTCTCCTAATTTCTAAATTCTAATAATGTAATATTCTACATTTTTTTTTTTCTAAAACTCTCTATGTTTTCTACCACTTATGCTCTACTTTTTTTTTTTTTAGATTGATATCTTAAACAATGAAGTTAAAATCAAATTATGTCCTCAAATTTGCAACTCAACTACACTCGATGGCTAGCAATGGATTATAGAGTTCAATGTGTTGGAAAATATATGTTTCATATATTATTAAGATTAAAAAATAATAAAAAAAAAACCTTATACTAATATTCTTATGAAATAATCAATATATAAATAATATGCTGAATCATTAATTTATTAAATAATCTACTTTATATTATTCAATTATTCATGCAAATTAAAAAATAAAAGGAGAAAAATCACATAACCCCATGTACTATCATTTTCGTCTAAAAAGCCCCATTAAAATTAAACACCCCCCTGAACTATAAACCGTCATCACATTGCTCCATTTCCGTTCAAATTCGTTAACTTGCCGTTTGGTTTGTAACGCGTAACCAACAAGCGCTTACCAAAAAAAATTCCTTAAAATACCTCTTCCCCTTCCCTTTTCCTCTCTATTTATATATACATATATATATAAATAAGCATGTGTACTGTATATATATAATCTTGTGTATTGTCTGTATATATATAATCATGTGTGCAAAGGTTTCATCTTTGAAATCAGAAGCTCTGAAGGGAAGGGGGAGGCCACGAAGCTTTGAAGCCCTAAAAGGAAAGGAAATCCGTAATCCACCTTCCCCTTTACTCTGTGCAATCGAAGCCCTAAAAGGAAAGCTCTGTAATCCATCTTCGTTTCATTCAACACCATAATCGTATTATTTAGGATTTTATATTTCAACTATTTTCAATGCATACTATTTATATATATATTCATATATTCAAATTCAATTTTGGTATGATTTGTAGATTTTAATCACATAATATCAGCCTCAAGCATTCGATTCGGTGGTGGTCAAGATCTGAGGTATAAGAATGTTTATTGTGATTGTCGGGAATTGGCTAAAGTATTGGTAACAGGAAAGAACGATAATAACAAGTTGGGAAAGCTATACTATAAATGTCGTAACAAAGAATGTGGATTTTGGAGATGATGTTATCCAATTTCATAAGAAACCATTCAAAGTGAAGGCAACTTATTTGAGACTCGGCAACATGTTGAAAGGGTATTAGAATACGATATTACTTAGTTAAGGTCGCATATAAAAGCCAGGGAAGAAAGAGTGAAATTTATCATGGTTCTTATTGCAGCCTGTATCATCTTATGTGTTTTTGTTGTGATGTGTTCTTTGTTAAGGAGATAAAAAGTTATTTTTGTTTCTCTGGTGCTTCTGTTTTATTAAGTGGTGGAATTTAATCATTTGTACCATATTTCATATTTTATGAATGTAAGAGGTAGAATGAAATGGTTGCACTATGTTATAATTGAACCATTCACATTGCATATGGCATTGTTCCATTCACATTACACATGGCATTGTTTCATTCACATTGCAATAACCTGCTCAAAATGCACAATATCATCGTTAAATTGCATATGATATTGTTCCATTCACATTGTAATAACCTGCTCAGAAGGAATATACATCATACAAAAATAACATCATCTATTACAAAGTTACAACAACCTATAAGGTCCATAAAAATAACATCATCCATTACAAAGTTACAACCATTACTTCAAGATCCCTCATACAAATATTTCATCAATTAATAAAGAGGTCAATTAACAAAAACTATGAGGTCCATCTTGCAAAAATATTAATGTTCAGAAAGGTAGCTGTGCACTTGTAACTATGAGTTTAAGATCCATCAACCTGTAAAAAAATTAAAGGCAGCCATAAGTTAATGTTCCATCAACAACAACCTGAAAAAACATTTATGTCTTAAGGCACTACATACCTCATTCACAAAAAAATTCTTCATCACCAATCAATCTTGTGTTCCTTGTGTTGAAGGAAAATCCATTTCAACCAATTAATGTTGGCGGCTAGATGATGATGCCTATTAAAACAAAATGATAGTTATAGGTTTTATCAAACAAGTTGATAGTTACATATTTTATATCAAACAAGTTTATAGTTATCATATCTTATACTACTAGAACAAGTTGATAGTTTCAAATTTGATAGAACATGATGATACCTACTAGAACAAGTTGATAGTTATCATATCTTATGCTCGAACAAGTTAATAGTTATCAAACAAGTTGATAGTTATCATATCTTATGCTAAAACAAAATTATATATCAAACAAGCTGATAGTTACAGAATTTATATACCTGTGAATGATCACCAACATCATATCTTATGCTAGAACCATCTATTGCTGCCTTAAAACCACTTGCAGCCCTAGCAGCAACCATAATATCACTTGTAGCCCTTGCAGCATTCATAAATCCACCTGCATTCCTAGCAGCAGTTATAAAACCACTTGCAGCCCTAAACCACCTGCCCTATCACTTGCAGCCCTAACTGCAGCTCTAGCAGCATCAAAATCAACTACAGCAGTGGCAATAACACCACTTCTACCTCTGCCACCCCTAACAAGACCTTAACATTTATCTTTACTAGCACCTCTTCCACCCCTACTAGTACTAACAGAGTCACCTACAACACTAGCACCACCTCTTCCAGCCCTAGTACTAATAGTCTCATCCCTACTACCACCTATACCACCTGTATGCCTCTGGAGTGGGGGTCTTCCACCATTACTTTTGCGTGGTCTTTTCACAGGTTCAACTGCCTTACAAGTTCTTACATTGTGCCCCTTTTGAAGACATCTAGTGCACCTCAACTTTTCCTTTTTCTTCCCTACAACACCAATTTTAGGGGCCTCAGTTGGACCTCT